TTGCAGAGCGTTTCAGGACCGGCTGCTGGCATTGCAAGAACGGTTTCTCGCTCCCCACCAGATACAGCATGTGTGCACAAATGAAAGATAAGCTCTGGCTAAGAATTACAGCGGTTGGAGTCACTTTGCAAGTGGACTTTGCTGCTGCTGCCGCTGACGCCTTTCTATCTTTGTAACATGAGCTTAACAAACCAGGAAAAAAGTGGTCCGGTACCGCAAAATACTGAGTTGCTGGATGCAGCTGAGCTGTGGTTGTTGGATGCACCTATGCTGCTTTTCTAAAGCCTGACTGTTACACTAAGTTACACTTAAATCCCTTAGATCTAAGTCACTTAGATCCCTACAGGTCCCCAAAGGCATTCAAGTATGGGCCTTGTGTGCCTTTCTTGGTTTGAGCCCTGGAACAGCACGGGCTGGAGGAGGGAGAAGCAAGGTCTATTTCTGGCTTTTTTTATTGAATAACCCTGACTCATCCTCCCATTTCTTTGTGTCACCCCCCGTCCATCCAGCTCCCTGTCTTTCCCTGGTCAGCATTAGACCCCACATCACTTGAGCAGAGGCCGTTTCGTGGTCTGCCTTTGTCACCTTGTGGGGTTTCCATTTTCAGCCGTCATTGTGTGGAAAACAGAAACTCTCCTGGCCACGGAGGGAGCATTACAAGTTTTCACCTACCCTGGACCAGGCTACAGGTATTTCATTCAATGGAAAAAAATAATCTATCTCATTTCAACTAAATTTATGTTCCTAGAAAAAAGAGCCAGCTGTGTTTCTTACCTGAGGAGGGACTGCATTGCCAACCAGGTTTCCTCCCTTAGGGTTTGTGTTTGCCTGGTGTGGACTGACACTGAAGATGGTGTGAGAAGTTTTGCGTTGGGCACTTCCATTGCCATGAGTTTGTTCGCTTGCAGGCTGGACTGGCGACCACAGTGGTGCAGGTGGTGTTTGCTGGGATTTCTTCAGGGAGCCCTTGTCAGCGTGAGACCCTGGGCCACCTTCCCCTGCTCATGGCCACTGTGGCCAAGGATGCTCAGCTGAGGGCTGGGCTGTGAGATCCTTGTTCAAACCCCTACGGACTGAGTGGGGTTTCAGGGCTGAGCCTCATGGTGCTTTTCAGAGAGAAGAAAAGTAAAACTCCACAAAAGCCACATAACCGGCAGAGGTTTTTTTCCACCTGGGAATCATAAAGCAGTGCAGATCCTTCCCTGAGGGAGTGATGCGCAGAAGCCAGGACTCTGGCATCACCCCCACAAACACCCCCACTGCCCTTCGGCTTGTGTGGGAGCTCCCTAGGGTGAGGAGGGGCTTTAGAAAGGGGGAAAACCTGCTGGAAAGGGTGGTCTTTCACCTCCTTTTCTCTGAGGGAGAGGTGCCTTGGGTTTGGAGCCCACTGCATTGCCTATGTGAACATCTCTGGCAGCATCATATGCTGCGGGTGCAGCATGCTGGCCCCTGAGCCTCGGCAGCTGCGGAGGGGCTGCACCCCCCTGCTCGTAATCCCCATTTCGGTGCAAGGCACCCCACCCTGCTTGCCAGCAGCCCACCCTGGGCCCCTTGCTGGCAAGGATTCCTGCTCTTCAAAGCAATGTGGCCTGGCTTTCATCACTCTGTAAAAGCCCTGAGAAAGAGAATTGGAAAGGGTTACTTGCATGGATTTTGACAGTTTTTCCAGCTTTTTGCACACACCATTATTTTCAAGAGGCTCTGGGAGGTGTTTGGCAAGTCTGTCCATAAGGGAACCCAGCCCCAGCACCGGCAGGACGCTGTGCAGACAGGCAGTACGTGAGCTCCCGTCTTCTGAGGGCAACAGGGCCACGCTCTGGAGCCCTCCTCTCCACCCACGGGGATTAAAAACCTATTTGGCAAATGAAGAAATCCTGTCCAAAAGTCTTGCACTTAATCTAGAAGGACTCCGTGGAGTCTGTCATCTCCTGCCATTCATGCATAGCTTGGAAACCCGGCCTGCCTGCGGAGAGAGGCAGCAAACCCCCGGGGCCTGGGAGCAGACTTGTGAGCCAGCAGAGCTGGCTTCTGGCTGCAGATCTGGCTGTGAACCTTTGCTTTCCTATTTCTGCCCTTCTCGCCCCGTCATTTGACCCCCTCCTTTAAATTAGCCCAAATCCCGTTCCCTAATTAAGTGATGTATTAAATCACTTTGGTAGCACTTAAACATTCTTGTGCAAACACGCTTTTATTTTTGTCTAAGCTTACAGCAGGCAAAAGCTGCAACATGGCTGTGGGGGTGTTGTTAGGTAACATTTTATTTATCAACAGATGAAGGTTTAGCAAAGAAAGTGTAAATTTCACCCATAGACTCTTTCAATATTACCTAGCAGCGGTAATTTTCTTTCTGATATTCCCATGGTGAGGCAAGGGAAAAAAACATTGCAAAGGCAATTATTGTAAATGATTGTGCCTTGGAAGTCATTAGAAATGTAGCATTATTTATTTATAGATATATCCGTTACATTCATCATTGTAGCTGCATCTTCTAATGAATCCTTTAGAGTTACAAAATTAATATAAAGCGTTAGGAGCATTTCTTTCTCCTGATCTCTAATCCTACAAGGACGGAAATTAGTGAATAATAAGGGAATTTAGTGCATGCTACAGAGGAGGAAGGGGAGAGCTTTGGAGGACAAATAGGTATTCCAGTTAAGCCAAAAACTACAAAAATGAAGATGTATATGCAAATGAGCTGATGCCTGGGGTTACTCAGCTGATAAAGAGATGGTCTCACTGAGTGAAAAGTGGCAAGCAACGGATATCCACAGAACAGATTTTTCTTCCTTTGCTGTGTTGTGTGAGCAATACAACAAGATCCATCTCTCCTTTTCCACATGCGCAGGTGGGAGAGAAGATGTTCTTCTTCATCCAGTGCCCTCTTGTCCCCCCATTTCTTCCTGTCCGTGGGATCCAGAGGGCTGTATGTGGGTCCTGGACCCTGCAGAGCAGCGATCGCTGCCTCTGAGCCCCTCACCCTCTCAGAGGGTCCCAGGGTGCCTGGCCAGAGGTCCACGTCCTGGTGTCAGTGCCCAGCTACACCCTTCAGATGGGGCTTTGTGCTTCCCAAGCAAAACCAGGGCCAGGAGGCACAGCCAGGAGGAGGAATATCTGACATGGAACCCAAAGAGCCTGGCTGGCTCTCTCACCCACTCTCACCTGCCTGCCAAGCTGAGCCGGGCCGTCCCATTGCAGGGGTTGCACACTGTCTTGCACCCTCCCCACCGCAAAGGTGCCCCCAGCATGGCTTTAAAAAATAAGAAGCCTTAATTATAGTAATAGTGCTCAAAGAGTTTTCTCCAGGGATGTAGGCAGAGGTTGGCTCCTTCCAGGATGCTGGGAATGAAATGTTTGAAATCTCAACGCTCTTGGGAGCATGTGAGAGACCAAACCATCACACTTTTGCCCACCAGGTACAGACCTTTAGGACTGACCGGCTATATGGTAGGGACTGAAACCTGCTTTGCCCACAAGCAGCAGCCCCTACTCGTTTCTGGTGTGCAGAGTGTAAAGTTCTGGCATTGCCCAGTTGTTTCAGCCAGTACCGTGAACGTTGTGTTCTCTGTAGATGTGTCTCAAAGGATCAAGTTCTGCCCATTGCTAGGACAAAGGATAGCCTCCGTCTTAGATGGCGAGGTATTTGTTGATGTAAGGTATGTTTCCATGGGGGAAAAATGAACCTTTGTGAGTGGCGAGTCCATGTTATGCCTGGTTCATTTGGGCTTTCTGGTGGTGACAGGGGAAAGCAGACCCTGAGGACTCAGTGCTGGTACCAGAGGTTTGCCTGGGGCTATGAAGAAGGGCTATGAAACCAAAATGAACCTGAAAATGCTCAAGTACCTCCTTGAATGGCATCCTGAGCCATTCACCTTGGAAAATTATTTATAAAGCCAAAATATAAATATAAATCTTGAAGATGTATCTACATTATTTTGAAGGGTTATTGCTTCTGCCTTGTGGCCTGGTTTCTGAGCCTCTGCAAAAACTCCCATCAGCTTTTGCGGGTTATGAATTAGGTCACTGCTTCATTGGCATCTTCCAAAATAGCTCTGAAATATATAGTAACAAAGATAGCTAAGGTGAGATAAACCACACTGTTGTTTATGATGCTTGATATCAAATTGTTAGTTTGAATTTGGATAATGAGGCCTTATGAGATTATTAAAACACTTAATGAGGCTAAAACATCTATACTGTTGTACACCACTATGTAGTTAGTGTTGATTCTGGATGTAAGAACTTAGTGGTGTTATCTTTGCTTTTCCCAACTTTGCTTCCAGGGTTACATGAGATAATTGGGATATATAGGCCACAGAAAGACAGTAGCTTTTCAAGGCTTTGCTAACTTGATCAATTAACTAGTTAGATAAAATAACTCCCAGTTATCCAAACCTAGTTTCAAATTGGAAAGTTGCCAGCAATCCAATGAAAGTAGTGACATTTTACTCACTGTGATAGACCAAGAGTTGTTGCAGGACTGATACTTGCCAGTAGGCAAAAAGAAAGCAGTATTTCTGTTTTAGTGCTTTACCTTTTTTTCCTGAAGCTGAGCAGAAGTTAAAAGACGTCTCCCCAAAGCTGGTTAATGGCCAGAGTGCTGGTGAGATGCCCCAGATACGTGGTGACTGCAGGTGCTGTGTGACGTTGGGTCTGGAGCCGGGCAGAGGGGGGCACAAACCACCTCCGGGAAGAAGAGTTAATGGCTTGAGCATTATCACCCAAGCAAAGAGAAAGCATGTCCACCCTCCTCAGCCTTAGTGTTGTGCCTGTTACCTGTGATGCTTTATTGGAGTTCAAGAAACTGTAGTTTTCCTTTACATTCCGAGCTGTGCACGGGCTTGTTGTGTGGTCACTAGAGCTTGCTGCATCTGCCGGTTGTTGTAGCCACTGGTCAGTGCTTCTGCGGTTCTGGTCAGGTTCACCACGGTACCGTGTGAAATCAGATGTCTCTTTCTTATTGTCCAGAAAAATAAATGCTTTTATTTCTTTGTATTTTACAGATAATCAACCCCAATTTCATTCAAGAAGGTGAGTTGACAGCTATGCACTGACTGGCATGGAGGGGCAAGTCAGCAGCTGTGATTTACCCCGGTGCAATAGCATGCTCTGCACCCACCAGCATTTACAGCAAAGGCAGCTCCACGCTGGTCGGTCCCCAGGGAAAGTGCTCTTCCTGCTGGCTGCTCGAGTCAGACAGCCAAGGGCCACAGGCAAGGCTGAACCCCTCAAACCTGCATTCACAAAGTCCCGCCCTCCTGTCAGAGCACAGGCCTGGGGGACAGACAGTCCCCGCTACCTCCTTCTCTGAGCCATCGGCAGCTGGCTTTTAGTGAAGGGGGAGTTTCAGTACCATAATCCCAGGACTCCCAGCTGTTTGGGACCAAGATCCTATAGTTGGTCCTATCATGTATTCTCTAGACTTGTATGGGGAACATCCTCACCTGTAGATTAAAAGGTGTCATGTGTGTGTACCCATGTTTTCTTCCAGTGGCTCCAGAGTTTCTTGTGCCATTAGTGGACATCACCTGCCTGCTTGGTGACACAGTGATGCTGCAGTGCAAAGTCTGTGGACGGCCCAAACCAACTATAACCTGGAAAGGACCGGATCAAAACATTCTTGACAATGACAACAGCACGGCCACTTACACGGTGTCATCCTGGTAAGGTCCTGCCTGTGGATTCCAACCTAGCTGGTCACGATGGTCGTGTTGCCTTCAAATATGGCACCAGCCAGGCTACAAGACTCATTAGAAATGCAGTAATCAAGTCTGGCATGGTGTATCGGCATGGTGTATCGGCACATCGCTGCACCAACCTTCAGCTGGAAAGGGTCAAACTTTGGGGTTCAGGTAGCTCTATCGTTTCCCAAGCTGACATAGGGTATATCCACAAAGTGTGTTGCTGGCAGATGTGAGCTTGCTCCTATGGACCTCCTGAGGCAGCTGCAAGCCAGAAGCCAGAATGTTTCCAACATACTAGTTTGGCTAATATTGCCTCGGCATTGCTGGGATTTCTTTGCTTGAGTTTGATGCCATGCTCACCTTTGGTAGGAACAGGAGTGGAGCAGAGGAAGCCCTCACCAGCTTGCAATACCCATATCATTGTGCATTTTCTCATCTCATGGGCAGAGGTGGTAACTCCTGCAGTTTTCCTGAGCCTTTCCTCAGCTGTTCCTAAAAGAGCCTACATGTGCTCCTGGGAAGGCTACATCTGGCTGTGCTTGGACAGAAAGATGCTTGTTATGATGTTCCTGCCCCAGCTAGCGGGGAGGAAAACCATCTTTACAGCAAGCACTGGGAAGATCCAAAAAGATCTGGAGTTGAATTCAGGTCAGGTAACAGCCTGCTGCTGGACGCTCACCTGCGGCTTGCATAAGTGATTTGGGCCAAACTGCAGTGGAAACCTCCAGGAGGCGATCTGTCATGCGGACTTCTCAGCACTTCAGGCTCAGGCTGAGATGAATCCAGGGAGTACAAAGTCAACTGAAAGTGAAAACTGAACACTAAGAGAGAAGGGATTTTACATGTTCAATAAAAAAATCACATCTGATCAACAGCTTCCTTCAGAGACCGCTGTCTTGTGTGGCTGCCCCAGAGCACCCAAAATTGTCTTTTTAGGCTATTACTCAGTAGATCGCTAGTGCCTTATCTTCAGACTCTGGCTGGGGTTGGGATGGGGGGATATTTCCACACAGGGTTCTGTTTTCCATCACAGTCTTTCGCTTGTGCATTGGCTCCCTGTGCACTATCAGCACTTGTATTGTCTTGTTACTCGTATTTTTTTTTCAGTGAAGACACTGCCTGCCAAGAAGAGGCCCAGCAGATCAGTGGCTGTCTTACAAATCCTGCTTGCTTGAGTGTCTGGATTGCAGGGGAAGGGGATATTTCTGTCCTGTTTTAAACCAGCATAGTCACACCAGCAAAAGCTGCAGCATCCAGGCAGTTATACTGGCAGCCGTGTCCTTCTGCAGTTTCCGATAGATTATGCATTCAAGGACTAGTCTACTTTTGCCATCAAGGGAATTTATTGTTGGCTCTAAGATGGGTCTGCAGTACAGCTAAAGCAGTTACACAAGCAAATCTTTTAATTTAGGCCAACTTCCTTAAATATTGAAGACTGCAATATGCAAACCAAAGTGACTATATACAGACCTGCCATAAATTCACTAGACTCCGTAGACCTGTTTATTTTCTCAGATTGGGCCAAAGATTGAGCCTCTCACGAACCCGGCGCTGGTGTTCTTTATCCCTAGCTGTTGTGAGATGTCCAGCCTTCTGAGCGGGAGGCCTGGCAGCCACATTAGATCAATGGCACATGCTCCAGGGGTTTGAAGCTCCCCAGAAATGTCAGGCACCCTGTGCTGTGTGACCGCCTTCTGCATCTGTGGGAAGCTCCATTTGTCCAGCGTGTGTTGGACTTAACTGCAGAGGCACAGCAACTCAGCATCTCCCGAGATAGGAGAGATGTGCCTGGGGAAATCTTTCCAGGTATATGGAGTCTAAGCATCCAGCTCTGGACAGGCACAGCAAATGTTCAAGTCCTGGACTTTGCTTCCTGCTTGAGTGATCCTTCCCCATCTGCTCCGAGGCCACAGCAGACAAGTAGATTTGCCTGGCAGGCAATTTGGACCATTCTGCTTGAAGATTTCATTAACAGCCTAATCCTGACATATGGAGGGGTTGTATCTGGGTACCAGATTGCTGGAGGGATGGTCTTTTAAATGAGCTAACAGGATTTGTGTGCACATGTGTTTGTAATGAGGCAGGACAGGAACTGGTATAAAAAGCCTTAGCAAGTGAAGCAGTGCTTTATAATGGGGGCTTCCTGCATCCACAGTGACTCTGGGGACCTCACTTTGAAGATCTGCAACCTGATGCCTCAGGACAGTGGCATTTACACCTGTGTGGCAACCAACGAACATGGAACCGCATCAACCTCTGCAACCATCAAAGTTCAAGGTAGCACATTGGACCTTAACACCCAGGGTTTTTCCTGTATGGGGTCCCTTGGTGGGGGCTGGGAGCATGGAGGAATAGCTGGTGCAAAGGCAGCCAGACATGGAGCTGTGCCAGGTGAATTGAGATGTTAAAATCATACAACCATTCCTCAGCCAAGACTCCCACTGAAGGCATTGCAGACTCTTTGTGCTTGATTAAGTTGTCTGATCACAAGCATTGCATCTGGGAAATGAAAATGCGTTGGCACTGGTTCAGCTCCTGCATCCTGCTTCCAGTGCTGCTTCCCAAGGGCTCGGTAAGGTCGCCTGGGCGAAGCTGAGTTCCCTCAGACTGCTGAGCTCCTGAGAGGATGAGCCCCAGTTGCCTGCAGGAAGCTCTGGGCTTTAGAGTCTGCCTGGAGCGGGAGGACCTGGGATCCAGTGACACCAATTTTCAGCCTCCCCTTCTCTCTGGGGGACAGAGGAGGCAAGAGTAAGATTTGGCCTAGGTGAACTGTTCTGCAGGGATTCAGCTCGGAGACATGTCTCTGAGCCTGAATTCTCAGCACTGTAATTAGTGACCCATGTAATTGTAATGAATATGAAATGATGAGTTGATGCTCATGACCTCCAGCTCTGGGAAGGGATCTGTTAGCGTGAGAGATGAGAGGTGCCTGCTGCGTTGAAGGGGATGGCAGAGACGAATGTCTAACTGGTGACTTACAGATGCAGGAGTGTCACAAGCATTTCAAAGTCGATTTGTTTGGTCTCACAAACTGCCCTAGAGATATAATTTCCCCAATTTATCCAAGCAAGTTAGTGGCTGCACTAACTACTCCTGTGCTGAAGGGAGCCCTGAGCAAAGCACAGAAGAATTACTGGTCATTTGTCAATCTGCTGCCAAACACACCAAGTGCCATACACACAGAAGCACCCTGAAAGCCTTGCTTCTGTCATTTTTGGACACTTCAAGGGTAACTGCCTCCCCACCTGCAGAACCTCACTTGCTGCTTGGTGAAGTCTGTGGGAATATTTGTATTTCTCTGTTCCGTGGGCTTTGCTTCAGGTCCTGAGCTGGAGCAAAAATTAGCAGCAGAAGGTGGGAGGTGAAGAGGCTCTGCCTTTACAGCAGCTGTGCTCAGAGAGATCCTCTACACCCAAGGGGTGATTCTCCCAGCTGATCTCACAGGGAGCTCTCTGGGGCATCACAGTGCTGTTGACCACCAGCTGTGAGCAAGAAGAAATTCACCCTGTGCTGTAGTACTGTGAGACTATGTGGCAGCGGGGCTTGCAAGCAGCACGGTTCTGTCCTAGCTGCTAGAAGGGAAGTATCAGACCCACGGTGGTAGGTGAACCGGACTGTGACATTGCCTTTCTTCTGGTTGTGCTGGTAACCCAGTGTAAACCAGAGTGCTCCCTCTGCAAGGTGCAGCTGCCCCATAGTGACCTGATGTACCTGAACTTCAGAATAAAGCACTAGTGCTTGTTGATGTGATGCTGGATTTGGTGCTTGTTTTCTCTTCCCAAGGTGTCCCAGCTGCCCCAAATCGCCCCATTGCTCAGGAGAGAAGCTGCACCTCTGTGATCCTGCGCTGGCTACCCCCATCCAGTACAGGCAATTGCACCATTTCAGGCTACACTGTGGAGTACAGAGAAGAAGGTAAGTGGTTTGAACTATGCTCCCTGGCTGGGAGAATGAGAACAAACCAAGTCTCCTTTATGGAACAACAGGTCCCGAAAGCATCCTTGCCACCACTGCGATGCCACTAGTTGTTGTTCACAGATCCTAAAATCTAAGGCCAAAAGAAGCCCTTCTATCATCCAGTCCAACTTCTCATATATTACAGACCTTTCTGTTTCTTCCAGTCACGGCAAGCAAAGTGTGCTAAGCTAAAACATATCTATCACTAAGGCATCCTTCCATCCCATCATTCACATTCTACCAGCATAGTATCCATCCTTTCTGGTGGATGTTTCCCAGGAATGCAAAAACAAAGCAGCCTCATTTTTTTTTTTATCTGGTTAGAGTTGCAGATCCCTGCATACTTTTAAAGCTCAGCTCTGAAATCCATTTGTTCTTAAATCCAACCATCCTTTTCCCCTGAGGAATTAAACAGATATTAAATGCAGTTTCCCCAATATGTGCAGGCATGTGGTCTTGAAAAGGGCATTTGAAATGATTCACATCCCCTTTTGCATTCTTCCTGCAAAGGTGTGAGGGTCCCTGGGCAGTAAACCTTACCTTAGGTATGTGGCCTCTGGTTTTTCCCCTTCATCCTTCAAAAAATCCTACCTCATGTTAGTAAATGTGCAAACTTAATCACTCCATATTTATACCTTCTCTTAGCAAATACTCTGCCTTGACCCTCACTGTGCCTTCAGTGTGACGGGCATTTTTGGGAAAATAAAAGCTCTTCTATTGACAACAGCCACCAAAACAAACAGTAAAAAAGCAGCAGTGTTTTCAGTACTTCCCTGACTCCAAAGGAATCACTGGCTTCTCCCTGTAAAACCAACCTTGACATTGTGAGACCTGGCAATCAGAATTTGCCCATAGCGCACACAAAATATATGGGTCATGGTAAATAATGTAAAGGTAAAAAGCCCTGAACTTACTAAAATGAGACAAAATTTTACATATTTGTGAAAGAAATCATAGGCTGTGACAGGGCTCAGTGTCCCAGGGGTCCTTTTCTGTTCTGTGACCTTGTGCAAATGAATAAAGTATTGCTCCTTTGGCTGCCACTGGTTAGGCAATGGTTGGGTTTGCTTCTGTTATGAGCAGAAACACATGACAGAGTCACACATTTCTTTGCTGCAGTCCGGTTCATCTGCAAAAAGCCCATACTAAGCCTCAGAAAGCTGGTTCTCCTCCTGCAGCTCCAGGTTTCCCTGTAGCCACCACATCTGAAAAAGACTTCATCTGCAAAAGCATTTGGATTGTACTGACGCCCTCTCTCAGCTTCATCTGGGACTCCATTTTCCGTATTTTTTTTCCCAGTATTTCTGCTACCGTTTCTCTCATAGGAGAGCTGTCACCAAATCAGCCCTCCATTCCTGTCTTATCACACTGCCCTGAGACATCGCTTGTAGCACACAGCCTCAGCTAGACTGCTGAAGAGATCAACTTGTCCCTGGGCTGCGTTTTTTCCATCACTATCGGTCAAGTGAGGGACATTTCCTTCTTCCATCATTTAGCCAGACTAGAAGGTGGCTGCAACACAAAATAGCTTCCTGTCATCCGGTTCTGGTTTAACAGAAATACATCAGTCTGCCGTAACATTGCCTTTTAAAAGCCCTGTGGATTTTAACCTCCCAGGGTGCTGCATATGTTGGGCAGAGAAAGCCTCTGCTCTAAGCTCATGTACTGAGACTGTTTCCTTCAGCTCTCTCTTCTTTCCCTCTAAAATGCAGGCTCGCAGGTCTGGCAGCAGTCGGTAGCCTCAACTTTGGACACATACCTCGTCATTGAGGACCTGGCCCCAGGCTGCCAGTATCAGTTTCGAGTGAGTGCCAGCAATCCCTGGGGGATCAGCTTGCCCAGCGACCCATCTGAATTTGTGAGACTCCCAGAGTACGGTGAGTGGGCATGGTGAGGAGGGACTGATGTGCACAGATGTCCATCCGTGCGGTCCGTATGGTGTGCTTTGATGGGTCCCCTTAAAAACATTGATCCTGGACCCAGTAGGAATACAAGAAATAGCCTGGGAGATGCTCAGAGCCAGCTCCTGCCACTAGAAAGGCTTTTCATGTCTGCTCCTCCAGCGGGGCTCACCACCTCCCTCTGTCACAGAAGCCTTTGCAGTTTCCTGGCAGGTCCCTGCTTCCTATTCCAAGACCATTTCTTCTCTTTATCTCTGGGCAACAGGTTTTGTGTCCTGGTTGGCATTCCCCCTGCCTTTCCAACAATGCCAGTAGCACCAGGGGCTTCTGCTGGGCAGCCCAGCTCGGGTCTGCAAGTCAGCTTGCAAAACATGTCCCCCTGAGCAATGCAGCCGGCATAGGAAGGCTGTGATGGAGGTGAGCCCCCAGCGCATGGTGCTGCGCGAATTTGGGGTACAGCTCACTCATGATGGTGCTGTGAGCAAAGCCCACATTTGCCCATGTTTTAGCAGCTCCAGTGTGTAACTAGGTCTGTGACTGGCTTGGATAGCCTGTGCTGGATGAAATGAGAGCTCACACAGCATAGCTCTACCTCCCAGTTCCACACAGACATGCCCTTAGACTGTCCGTGTGGCCCTTTTCAGCCCAAAATTGCAAGGACAGATTTGAATCCACCTTATCCATACCTTCCTCTGGGGAGCTCTGGCTTTCAGTGGTCCAACACATTGGAGCTGTGCCTGAGCAGTATGGAACTCGACTCCGAGTGGTAATGTTTGCTGTTTTAAGTAATATAGTCTCACGTAATTTTAAAATACGCTGTTTATAGTCTACAGGAAACTGTCTTTAACTTTATACTTTCTTGAATGTGCTTTGTTCTCTCAGACTCTGCTGCCGATGGTGCCACTATTTCGTGGAAGGAAAACTTTGACCTCTCTTATGCAGAGCTGCATGAGATTGGGAGGTAATAACCCTGCTTACCACTGCAATAAAACACCAAAACAATGGCTTGCAGTTTTTTCCGTGGAGGAAAGTTGAGGTTGCTTTTTGTAGTTAGCTTGAAAACTGCTGCTCCTTTCAAAGAGCACTGCACATTAAATACTGATTAAAATACAGACTGGTTAAAATACTGACTAAAATTTGTTTTTCAAGATCAGTTGTGATTTGAGAACAATTAGGCAGACAAATCTTTGACAGCCACTGGTAGCTCTCGCTGGTATCTCCTCTGTCATCTCTGATTTGATGTGAGCCTCTGAAGTCACGACAATTTGCTGGTTCTGCATAAGCTTAACCTCAAAGACTGAGTTTACCGAAGCACTTAAGGCATGTGACTGACTTGACATGCCGAAGAGCTTTGCTGATTGGGATGGTCTGTTGAACAGGAGCCTAAATAGGAGCCACATACGTTATCAGCCCTCGGAGTTCTGCGCAGACAACAGATAAGGGGCATGCAAACAATTCAGGTTAATACAGTTAGTTCTTCATCTCAGAGATCAGAGACGAGTAATTCTGAGGCTGAAAGGACAGGACTCTCTCTGGTTCTGTAGAAAGAAGAGTGATGAATTAATTAGAGGCCAAGTTCGCACAGTTTCACTGAGTAGTTTTACTTTCAGGAATGGTACTAGGCACTAGTCTGTGTGAGTTTCCTAAAGGCTCTCCTGCCAGCTTTTTTTCTTAATTTCTTACTGGATGCCTGAAACAGTGAGACAAAATGATAGGGTAGTGATTATTTAACAAGGCTTTTCTTTTAGTTGTCTGAGAAAGTTTGGGCTCTTTATTAAAGGGAGACCCACAGCTAAAACCAGAGAGAGAACCTGTAAAAGTGGCAGCAAATTGAACCCAGGGGAGATTGTTAGAGGACATCAGTATGGCTGCACAAAGCAAAGTGACACTGTTTGCTCTCAGTGTTTGCTAATCCCCAAAGAATCTCTACACCCCGGGTAAGAGACAGAGGCTCTTTGTTGGAAAAGGTTATGAACAACTTGTTAAATCTGATTCTTTGTGAAATATTAATGTACTGAATCAAATAACACTTCGAAAATCAGTCTGTTATTGGACTGAAAACTAGGTGTGATTTATTCATGAGGCCCCTTCATTATTCTGTGTTGTTTTTTTTTATTTCAGGGGTCGATTCTCCATAGTAAAGAAATGCGTTCACAAAGCCACCCGGAAAGATGTTGCTGTAAAATTTATTAGTAAAAAAATGAAAAAGAAAGAGCAGGCAGCACATGAAGCAGCTTTGTTACAGCACTTACAGCATCCTCAGTACATCACCATCCACGATACCTACGAGTCCCCTACTTCTTACATCTTAGTTCTGGAACTGTAAGTATGTGGAGCTTGAATTCAAGTGTCTGGGTAGGAATCACAGCCTTATTAAAGCCAAGGATAAAATTCACCCCGACTTCAGCAGGGCAAAGATTTTTGTCACCTGTTTTTTATGGATTGTGACGTCAAATGAAATAGCCATTTTCTGCAGAGCTTCCACTGCCTTTTCTTTACAGTAAATAAGATTCAGAGGGACAAATAAAACTGCTTTCTACTCCAGTGAAGCTTGGGTAATTTTATCAGCAGTTAGTTTGTCCCATTGAATAGCATCAGATTTATTTGGACTGTTTTGTGCACTTTTTATATTCGAGTAAATGTGTTTCAGCTAGATTGAAGCCTACGTTGTTCTAATACTTCTTGGTGAAAAGAGCTGTGTAGCAACCATGCTTGCCTCTATAAGAAGAAATAGCAAGCAAAATCCAAAATGCTTATTTGTTACAGTATATCCAACAAAGTATATTTGGGCTATTTGCTTGTTTATTTATACAGATAAATAAGACTAGGTGGAAAACCTTTATTGGGCTAGTTTTCCCACAGAACAGATTACCAGATGAAAATGTCTGTGATTTTTTTTTTTTCTGCATTATGTAACCACCTCTATTTGGATTCATATCTTTCTTTATAATTAAAAGGATCTGTTTTCAAGGGAATTGCCTCCATCTATTGAATCCATCCTTAAGCAAATGAGTTTACTTTGAGACTGTTGCTAAATTTTTCAAGGACCAGAGATAACAACTGAGGATTAATCATTCTACCACTTCCGTGGCCTGCAGTATCTTGAGATACCATTATATACACATCAGATCTTGCATTTCAGTTTCCTCCATTTATAGGTCACGAAGCTTCCATTGCAATTTTGTTTTCAAATATTAACTGTTCTTAGAGATACCATGTGATCTTTCATGTGCAGGGTTTGATTTGTTTGTAGGATGGATGACGGTCGTCTCTTAGATTATCTAATGAACCATGACGAACTTATGGAGGAAAAAGTTGCTTTCTATATAAGAGACACAATGGAAGCCTTGCAGTATCTTCACAATTGCAGAGTGGCTCACTTAGACATAAAGGTAAGAAGAAAAGGGAATGATGCTATTATTCAGTGCCCTGGTACAGAGAGTTCCCAGCTGCACAGACAGGGAGAAGGAGCACTCTGTACCCCAAAGAGATGATCACTAAATGGACCAGCACTATCTTTCAGACCTATTGACCTGAGAAAGGACTTGCTGACCTGCAGCACAAGGTCGTCTTCTTCCTTCAGACAAGGGATGCACCTCTTTTCTTGATTCACTAGTTTGTTCTCAAGGGCTTTCTGGATCTAATGAAGGAGAAGGAGGATGTCTGAGACAAGAGTGAGATGTCACTAGTACCTGACTGTAGTGGAATTATAAGTCCACGGAGTATGGTTTGGGCTCACACCTGTACCAATGTAGCTACCAAACTTCCTGAGCAGAGCTGGCTTATGCCCAGGCAGCTCAGGGCAGGCCAGAAGGAACGTGTATCTTCCTCACATCTGCAGCAGTGCCCTGGAGAGCCGAAAGCGAGGGGAGGGTGCAGGGGAGCAGGAGGTGGGGAGGGCTGGCAGGTGCAAAGGAAAGCAGCACACTGCATTGTGCTGCAGAGCCTGAGAGGGGAACTGACTGGGAAATACACCCAGGGAGAGGTTCAGAGGAGGAACAAGCCGCATTGTGGACAAGAAATTCAGGCATTCTCTAATGTCATGCTTGGTTAGATTAGCACAGCTCGTACCTCCTTTTGTTAGCGCCGATGGCAGGAAGCACTGTACTGTCCTGGATTCGGTATTGTACTGCTGTCCTCGCCAACATCCCAGTTATCTTGGATGACAGAGAATTAGTGATTGAAGTTATGATCAAGTGTTTTGAGTTTTGTGACCTGCAACATTGATTCTGGTTGCCCAAGATATCAGATAATCTATAATTTTTTGCAGACTTAAATGCCAATTAGAAATGGAGAATGAGAGATGGATTTAACTTTCTTGTATAGTGGACAATCCAGTTCCAAGGAGGTCTATTCTCAACTCTCCAACCCCCAGGCATGTCAGATGAAGTGATGCTTTCATTCTTCTGCTGCCTATTACCACTACAAAAAAAAAAAAAAAAGATTCCTTTATACAGTACCTTATGTGAGCATTAGTCCCAAAAGGCTAAATCATCCTGGCTTCTTTCAGCAAGATTGTTTGTATTTTCTGCTGTATTTATAGGACCTGTCAAAAAGTAGGTATCACTTGGAGGTAAGAAACTGCACTGAATTCTCTATTTGATCATAAGATACTTCCTAGAAACCAGGTAGGAAGCCAATTTTCTGTGACCTATTTACAGTTCTTCTGAATGAGGGATGCTAAATAAAGCACCTTCTGTTGCTAAGTGGGAAGCAGGAGATGCATTGGTAGTGACAGCAGACCTAACCACGGACTGACTTGTCCCAGGATCCTGCTCAAGAGCGTGTTGATTTTCTCAATGCAGACTGCACAAGAGAAGAGCAAGCAGAGAGATTTGAACAGCAGTATAGTGAACTTTTCTTTATATATATAGCCATGAGGCGGCAGTAAAATATGCATGAGGATGAGGGGCTATAGGACAGCAAAGCGAGTCTAGAGAGGATGGAAGGAGTATATGCAGAAATCATCTCAGAGCTCACAAAGGAATCAAAATCCATGTTAAGTCCCCAGAGCAGAGTGTACAGGCGATGCTCAGCATCTCCCACTGAGAGAGAGATCTTAAATACTGAAAGAGTGGGGAAAATAGAGGGAAAACCAACTGGGATGAAATATAATTGCACTCTGGTTTGTAGGGCATGACTCTGTCCTGGTGTTTATAAGGGAACACTGGCAGCTCTGTCTATGTCAACTGACAGCAACAGTACTGGCACACACCAAAGTCCCTCCCAGGATACGTGGTAGTGGGAGCAAAATTGAACACTTATTTCATGAAGAACATTTCTGCTACAAGTTACAAACATTTATGTAGCCAGTTGTCATGTGAACAAATGGAGTCTGAATAAACTGATCAGAGATACACAAGTCTTATCGAAATTTAAAAATCTGTCAGTGCTCTTAATCTGTAGAGATTAGATTGGGAAAATAAACTGAGTATTTGGGACAAGGTGCAAAATCCCAGCGTGTTGCCCTAGTGCAAAAGAGGATGTTGTCATTGCAATTTCAGCATTGATTTGAATTTACAGCAGTGTAAAACAGCAGCTGAGCTGGTTCCACTCTCCTGATCTGTACCACACACATCTGATTAAATGCGAGTTTTGATGCGCTATTAAAGCTAAATGAAATATACATGTTTTATTTGCAAAAATATAATATAATTAAGGTTTTGTTATTATCTTTTCAACAGCCAGAAAATCTGCTCATTGATTTAAGAATCCCGGTACCTCGTGTCAAGATCATTGATTTGGAAGATGCAGTTCAGATCACAGGTCATTACCATGTCCACCACCTCCTCGGAAACCCGGAGTTTGCAGCTCCTGAGGTTATCCAAGGGCTTCCTGTCTCCCTGAGCACGGACATCTGGAGCATTGGAGTCCTCACCTACATCATGTTAAGTGGTGTCTCTCCGTTCCTGGATGAAAGCAAAGAGGAGACTTGTATCAATGTGTGCAGAGTAGATTTCAGCTTCCCGCCCGAGTACTTCTCCGATGTGAGTCATGCTGCCAGGGATTTCATCAACGTTATCCTCCAGGAAGACTTCAGGAGAAGGCCGACGGCAGCCACCTGTTTACAGCATCCGTGGCTGCAACCGCACAACGGCAGCTATTCCAAGATCCCACTGGATACCTCCCGCTTGGCTTCCTTCATCGAGCGCCGCAGGCACCAGTACGATGTGCACCCGGTCCCCAGCGTCAAGAGTTTCCTGATGAGTAGGCTGAACCTGGGCACATAATGCCTCCATCCCTGGGGTCCCACACTGCTGGTCCTGAGGCAAGGCGCTGGGAGTGAGCAGGCGCAAAGCAGATCTGTCTGTACATAGTCCTGTATTCGGCGTTTGCATTTCACGTGGCTTCCCTAACTGCAGGGTACAAATCATTGCGGAGGTGGCAGTACCTGCCCAGTTCCTTGGGACCAAAGCAAAGGGGGTAATGGCAGCGGGTACCCGCTTCCTCCCCTTGGTGGGCTCCTCTTAGGACATGTGGTACTGTTGCACCCGCTGCCAAAAAAGAACTGCGGGAAGCAAACACCAACTGGAAACGAGAGCCAAAATTGCAGTTGCCTTAATCTTTGTGAGGCAGCCTTATAAGAAATCCTCTTGATCTTGCTGAACTGATTTAAAAATGTACAAGAGATTAGGAGTAGGATAGTAGGGGGGTGAGTGAGACTAGGCTGACCTTAGCATGTACTGCAGAACTGGACTGAAGTCAGTTTTTGTTGAAATCATTGCAAGCCTGCTACAGGTTAACAGGCGGATTTTGCACGTCCCGTATCCCCGGGTCTGCCATGATTTCAGCGGGGACTTTGCCTGCATAGGACATGCAAGATCAGGCCCTAGTCACTGCTGGATCAGCTTCTGTGGTGGCATGGCTTAGATACGCTCTCGTTGCATGGTAGTGCTCAGACCAAAATCCCCCCATTAATCCTTGGGCTTTCTGCTGTGTCAAGTCAACATGCAGTACCTTTTGGAGCTACGATTAAGGCAATGAATCATTGGAACATATAGCTGGTTTTGACTAAGCACAATGGGACTATGATGGGTTTTTTTTAAAAGCATTTTATACACACTGTACAGAAATCTTTTGCAAAACCTGTGCATTGAGAAAAGGCTGTGTCCGATTTTTGCAGTATCTGTAAACTAGATGATGATGAAGACAATTTTTTCTATCACAGGTTTTCAGTATACATATATTGTA